GTCGCTTGATCACTTTGAATGGCCCGTCGTAGGCTGGTTCAAGTTGTGCACGAACGGTGTCATGGCGAATAAACACGTACGATGTCTTTTGTAAACTGGGGTGGACGAAGACACCAGTCGTTTGAGGCCTAACCGGAGAAGGCCTAACTGAACGCATTGCGTTCGTAAGCCTATTCACGTACGATGCCTTGTCGGAAACATGTTTGAAAGTTGAAGGAGAAACAAACTCACCTGGTGGGCGAAGAGTGGTCCCATAGACGAGTCCTGCAGGGGTACATCCAGCATCTACTTTCAAGGCGTTACGAATACCTAGTAGGACTAGAGACAGAGCCTCGGTCAACTGAGGTATGTTTGCAGCTGAGAGGGAAGTTCGCGATCTACCTTTCTAAGAAAACACGAGCTACTGTTTCAGCAGTAATATCCTTAATAGGTAGTGCTTCCGGCCATCGTGTGAAACGATCAACAGAAATGAAAAGTTAGGTACATCCATTAGATTCTGGTAGGGGTCCTACAATATCTATATGGACGTGGTCGAAAAGCATGTCTGGGGCTAGAAATGAGCCTAAAGGGCTTTTCGTGTGTCGCGTGACTTTACACTTTTGACAAGCTAAGCACGACTGAGCCCACTCCTTAACGTCTTTGTTCATCCCAGGCCAGCAGAAACGTTGTGCGATAAGCCTAATGGTGGCTCGTACACCTGGATGAGAGAGTTTGTGCAACGTATTGAAGACGTTGCGTCGACAACTCTTCGGAACTATTGGGCGTGGTTGACTAGCAGAGACATCGCACAAAATTGTATCCTTGTCTGATCCAACCGGACAAAGTCGCAGCTTGAGAGTTGTGGACGACAACTCATGATGCAGCTCAAGGTCTTCCTTTTGACGCCGAGCTAGTTCAACGAGATCAACGCCCTCGATGTGATTTATCGAAGCTATTCGAGATAGTGCGTCGGCTGCGGAGTTGTTTGCTCCAGAAATGTGGCGGATGTCTGACGTGAACTGGGAAATGTAATCCAGCTGTCGCGACTCACGAGGGGAGTATTTGTCAGACGCCGAGCTGAGGGAAAAGGTTAACGGTTTGTGGTCTGTGAAAATAATGAAATCACGACCTTCCACAGAATGTCGAAAATGGCGTACAGAACAGTACATGGCTAGGAGTTCCCTACCAAATGTACTGTATCTTGTTTCCGCGTCTTGCAGCCGCCTCGAGAAAAAGGCTAACGGTTGCCACTGGTTGTCAGTCAACTGTTGCAAAACTGCTCCAATTGCTGAATCAGATGCATCAACAGCAATACTCAAAGGAGCATTGGGGTCATGATGCATAAGCATGGTTGCGTTCGAAATGGCTTCCTTGACTTTGGAGAAAGCAAGTCTAGCCGCGTTGTCCAGAGACACGAACTTCGCAGTTCCTCGAAGTAGATCTGTGAGTGGTCTCATGACAGAGGCACAGTTAGGGATAAACCTTCGGTAATAACTTACCAGGCCATTGAAAGTGCGGAGATGTTTCACAGTGGTCGGCTCTGGATAGTTTGTGATAGCCGCCACTTTATCTCTCAATGGGCGTATACCTTTGTTGTCAATGGTATGCCCAAGGAAGCTGAGTGATTCAACTCCTATTTCACACTTCTGTAAGTTGACTGTGATGCCATGTTTTTTAAGTCTTTCGAATGCGAGGTCCAAATGTTTGAGGTGAGTTTCCTTATCTGGACTCGCAATTAGACAGTCATCGATGTAGACATGAACAAAATTCAAACCACGGAAGACATCGTCCATAAAGCGTTGGAATGTTTGTGCTGCATTCCGAAGACCAAATGGCATGCGCAGGAATTCAAACAGGCCAAAAGGAGTAATAATGGCTGTTTTCGCGATATCTTCTGCTGCCATAGGTATCTGGTTGTACGCTTTGACCAAGTCGATTTTGGGGAAAATGTTCATTCCGCATAAGGTTGCAGTCAAATCGTAAACGTGAGGTATCGGGTAGCAGTCCGGAGTTGTTTTGGCGTTAAGCCTTCGGTAATCACCGGTTGGACGCCAGTCGTTGCTATCCTTTTTGGGAACCATGTGCAATGGCGATGCCCAAGGACTGTTTGACGGTCTGATAATGCCCAGTTCGAGCATGTGGTCGAATTCGCTTTTCGCCGTTTTGAGCTTATCGGGGGCTAAACGGCGCGCTTTGGATGCCACAGGTGGACCTGTGGTTGTGACGTGATGCATAACATTGCTGGTTATGCACGGAAGAGTGTGCTTCGGTTGCTGTAACTCTGGATATTTCTCCAAAACTGCCTGGTAGGACGCGTCGCCTGATTGTTTGGTTCTAACGATGGCTAAACTCGGACCTACATAGGTGGTGCCGCCAATAGATAACTTTGTGTTGTTATCTATCAGACGTCGACGGCGAGCATCTACGAGTAGATCGTAATGGTTTAGCAAATCTATGCCAATGATGGGCATAGAGACGTCAGCAAGGAGGAAAATCCAGTGATAGGTTTACGTAAACCTAGGTTGAGGTAGGCATACCGTCTCCCAAATGTCGAGATTGCCTTGCCGTTGACTGCTTGAAGACTGAAGGATGCGTCATGATGACGTTCCTTTGTCGGTGAGGGAAGAACGCTAATATCTGTGATGTAGAGCAAACCGCCGTTTCCGCCGGCTACGGTTGTCGTGATCACGTGCCGGCGTGACCGTTTCCCGGGTTTGTGTCCTTCTTAAAACTGCATGGTTTCGACATTTTCTGGCTTCGTCTCCCTAAGTGTTATGTAACCAGCACCATCTAGGGTTTTCCACCCTGTTAGGTTTAGTTTTGGGGCAACCACGCGAGTTGCTGCGATGCACTACGAGGCGTTTCTGTGGAGTTCTGCGTGAACTAGGACTTCAAAACCGTAGCAACTGTTTAACAGAGTTGCACAGCTTGGTCACCTCTGAATCCTGGCTCTCTGGTTTGTCGCAGATAGAATATGCTTTGGAGACGGGTCTGCTAGAAATCTCTATTATTTTATCTGCCGAGGCTGCCAGGTCATCGAGTGGGACTGGCTGCAGTGTCACCAACACGTTTGCACCGGTTGTGGTAGTTTCGAGAGAAACAGGTCTAGGAAGAAACCATCGTCAAATGTTCGTGCACCCATAACTTCTCGCATGCGTGCGAGGACTTCAGTAGCTGAGTTGCTGCCTAGCTCGATGTTACGAAGTAATTTGTCCAGGCGCTGGCGATCTGTCAGATTGCTTTTCTTCAAGAGTGCGGCCTTGAGAAGTGCATAAGGATCACTTACTTCAGGATTAAACATGTGTGCTGTAACGTAACTGTTTAATTCTCATGGTAGTGACCGTCTGACGGCATGAAATCGAGAATGAGAATCTGAGACACCCTGTTCTCGAAAATCGGCCTCGGCATATAGAGACCATGTTTCCGCATTGTCTGGCCAATATGGCACGAGTTGGATTGTGTTCGTAGTCGGCTTAATACGAATAAGCTTGGGAGTGTGGTCGGACGTGAGAAAGTGTTGTAAATGGATACATAAATGCTATCGAATACAAATATAAAATGGAACGGACTCACCAATTCAATATCTGTTATTGGTCGGGATATGTGATCACGTCGGCTCACCAATTTAGGATTTGTCCTGGTGCGAACTTGACAGGCGCGAAGACCAATCACTAATTATTCGGACTTGTTATATACCCACGAGTACCAGACCAAGGAAGAACACGATAGCGTAGTCGGATGGAATATTATATTTGGATGGTTGTGCCAAAATGCCGATGCGTTCCAACTAACTGGCTGGAGAGTCGAATACGAGCAGTGCAACGTAACACGACAGCGTGCCAAATGCTGAGGATGCTTGACCGGGTGCCTTCAGCTTAGCGAGTCCAGTTAAACTATCAAGGTCAGCATCAATGTCGAAGTGGTCCAACCCTAGGCTATTGATTTTTGGGAGCACCTTTCAGTTCTTGGAATATTGGGAAAACATGTTAAATAAGTTGTTTAGGTACCACCAGTTCCGGTCATACTGAACAGACCATTCTGAATCTTAACATGCTGACCGAAGTTAGTTTTGAAACTGCAGCTACAAATGCACGAGAGATAGATTCTGTGAAGCTTGTGTTGAACATTGATGGAAAAATCTTGTAATCGTCTGAGCATACTTCTCAAGCTTAAACATTGGTTGCATACAAATATGAGCATAGAATTAACATATAAAGCCATTAATAAGTGAAGTAGAGTTGCTGTAAATAGGCTTTCTCAATGGATACGAACATTCGGTGCCATACCCCTCATGTTTTGCTTTCCTTTAGCAGTTGCGTTTCCCTTCCCTAACACGTCATTTTAATTGAGTATTCGAATGTTTACAAATTGCAGCATTTACGATGTTAGTGTACGAATCTTTTCAAGAGGTCTAGGAACTCCTACCTTGAGGATACTGTCTTTAATTCTCTCACAGTTTTCAATCAATCTATCTACAACCACTTTGTAACGTAGTTACGAAGTTGAAGTCCCGCGGCTTTCTTTAGGGATCTTAGCAGGTTTGAGGCTGCTTTAGTTAGCTGTTTAATTATTGGGACAAATTATTAAATGACAAATTATTAGTTGTTTAGGATTGTCTTACGCAAGCATGCAACGTTTTATTTTGTGGCTTTTTAACATGAGTGATGATTTGATGAAGAATCATCAAGTTTTGTAGTGCACATGAGATTATGCTAAGTTAATTTTCCAACACAATAATTATCCTAACTCACTAAGCACGTTAAGTGCTCGGATCTTTCAAAATTGTGGGGATGATGTCCAACTTCGATTTCTCATCGAGAACTAGTGTTAGTGAGAACATTTCAGAAATCTGAAAAGTCTTTTCTTTGTAGCCTGTTAGGAAATAGCTGCTTACATACGGGTGACAGCTAGCTCAGTTCGAATTTGAATTCACTCCCAACCGTACCACTCAGCCCTGACAGCTTACTGGGCTTCGTTTGATTGGCTGGCAGGTTGTTACTGTTGGCTGAGGGAATTTAGACATGCTCGATGTTATTGTAATAGGTGCAGGTATCTCTGGCTTGGCAGCTGCCCACCTCCTTTCTCGTGAATCATACAGTGTCTTGGTTTTGGAAGCGCGTTGTCGTCCAGGAGGGCGAATACACAGTGTTCGTTTACCACCGTTACCAGGTGAGTTGTTGTTTTTGCATTTATTTCTAACTAAAAGTGAATAAAGTGTGAATACATTTGCTAAAAAACTTGAAAATTTTGCTAAAATTTGTAATACTAGGTAACAAAAAAAATACAACCACGAGATTATTATATTCTAGTTTTGTGTATAAGGATACGGCAACTAAATTTGTATAAATCAATAATTGCCCCTGAAATGTGAAATTTCTCGATTTAAAGTAGCCAAACAGCTTCACTTTTCAGTCAGTGATTCAATATTAAAAAATTCAGGGAGTAATTCACATGTATATAATAGGAAATTAAATGCTGTGACTGACACTAGAACTGAATAACTTTTAAGCCGATCATTCCAAGGTACTACTGTTATCTAACGAACCGTATGTATTAAAATGGCATGAAGTTTTTCGAGTCGGAAAATATGAACTCGATCAGATCTGGTATAGTGACATTTCTTCAAATCCCTTGTATATTCTGTTTCATATGAATGTAGATTTGGAAGTTATTTACCACATATAATCTTCGCATATTCTTCTCATTTCAAGCAATTCAGGCATTTCCCGCTTTATTGATGTATGGTATTCCCAAAATGAGCACCTTCCATGTATGTGCTTCCACTTTGTCAAATTCTGCTAACTCCAAGAATTATAAATCCGAATGAAAATGAAGCTATTTATGGTCAGGAACAATGCCTTGCCCTGGCCTACTTGCTCGTGTGCGCTAAACTTATTTCTTTCAGGCCCATCCTTCAGAGTCAAATTGTAAGAATATGTGATCAGAGTAAAAATCTTGTTGGTGATCTCGTTCTCTTAGCTGTACATTCGTAAACATAGTGGTGACGGTAAAATATTCTAAAACAATCTAGATGCGCTGAATAATAAGAAAAAAAAATAGATTGTAGGCTGAGCCACATCTACGGTATGTAAGTCTGTGACTCTATCTGGCTGCCTGGACTGTTTATGGAGTAGGCTTGAATATACGATTGACTGGGTGGATTTTGAAACTCTAGACTACAAAATCACATTCACATGGGCAGTTCTCTTCTGGAAGTTTTCCATTTCACTCCACCATAATTGTTTCACAAGACCACACTCTGACCTTTGTGCAAATTAGGTTTTAAATAGACAGTTGTATGTAGCTTTTGTTAATGTTTACAACAAATATGTATGCTTTCCGCTACCTGACATTAAACTGAAACTTTCATTTCTGCTTATTTTGGTTAACACCTTTTTACTAGACACATCTATGAATCCAGTTCATCTGAAAGCAGTCGTTACTATGATAAAGTGAATTATATTTATCTCACAAAATTCATTTGAATATTGTGATAAACAGTTCCTATTCTTGTAGTCACCCCACATCATTAGGGTTTATAGATGTTAAAGAGGAGGTGGTATCTTATTTTACAAACGTGACTCAAGTTTAAGGGTGCTGTAGTGTCAGGTGCACTAAAGTACGTTGCTTTAGGAGGGTTCTCTCAGATCATAAGTACCTACTGAAGTACTGGTATCCTGTAGTGAAACGAGTGGAAAAACTTTCTGAAACCTAAAAATTCTTTTCGCAATGAAACTGCTTTGCAGACATTCATCTAAGCAGTTTTTTTAATTTTCTGTTCATGAAAATTCCGTCTCTTCGATGATCACTGAAAGCGACAAACAGAAAACACCAATAAAGTGTAAGTCCCTTTCTAATGTCATACTTTTTGCGTTGAGAGGTAAGGCAACCGATTAGGTTGTTAACCATTTACTCAGGTACTGGGATGTTGTGTGACTAGCCACCTGTCCCAGTGTACAACATTAGCTGGAGTAAGGTCAGGCTCGAACAAAGTTAAGCCTAGCCGAAATAAAGCGTGATACCAGTCTATGAAGTCTCTGACTTAATTTGAGACATTTGAGGAATGTAGGCTTCCTGGTAGAAGTTCTCGAAAATCGAAACTGATGGTTAGAAATAGCTTGTCTTGGCTGACTTTTAACTCTGTGAGGCTAAAAAACTGCTTAAGTGTAGATTGATAAAGGTATAATGTGACGAAATACATGGTGGTAATGCTAAGCACACTGTTAAATTTGTGAAGTAGACTCTTGTAAAAACCTTTCACGTAACGAAACTATTACTGTTGTCAGAACGGACAATTTTTCTGTCTCATAATCATTCAGGAATAGTTCATCTTACACTCAGCTGTCAATCAGTTAACTGTTATCCAAACTCAGTCTGAATGGGACTCCAACTCTTTCTGAAGTCGAGAAAGCCTTATCCATCCTTCATCTGGAGATGGTAGTTAGTTTCTGTAAGCGTTTTCTAGTACTCTTAAATAACGGTGACTCAGGATTAGTAGCTAGACCCGTTTGAATATTGATATGTGGGAATCAGATGTAATTCTTTAACAATCCTCGGTCATTATTCATTCCAGTTTATAAAAAAGAACCGTGTGTAGAAGCTGAATTCATTAGTCTGACCAACATGGTCATACAACTAGCATCTATCATCATCTGACGTCTGAATAAACTTCAGGAAAACCAAACATGTGCAGATTAAGCCAGTTTCTTATCTTCTTATGAGTGTATGGATCACATTTTTGACTTTCTTCATGTTCTGAAAAATCTCGTTGCCCCAATCTAGCCATGTGCCTAAACCTCAAGAGTGCGGTTAGCTCCACAGATTTGCTTTTTGTGGAGTAACCATTCTCTTGGTTTTCATTTCAGGTTGTCATAGATGTACTTCTTGATGTAGTACTTCTCTGACTTTCAGCGGTAATTTTCCGTGACGAAGATTTCTCAAATGGTAGACGACATTTTCTCATTATGTACATAGCAAAAACAAGATCTTTTAATAATTAAGTTGACAGCTTAAGAATTCTTGAAGTATTTTTCACCTCGATGCAATGTTGCTTCAAAATTATTTTGCATCGACACTGAGTGTAATTGTAAAGAGTTGAGTTGTTGAGCACTGACCACTTCATTTTTCTAGCTTGATGACTGTCAACATTTCGGCAATGATACACTATGGTTGTTAAGATATCCGTTAGCTTACACCTGATGTTGCCCCTGTTAAATATCTGAACTCCTATATAAGGGCTGGTTGTATTGGACAGCAGTGCTTCCTGTCTAATTAAATGGTCAGGAAACATCACTAAAATTGGGGATTATTTGAATTTCACATGTTTATTTGGTGGGTGTCATCTTCGTAATATCATTTGCTTATAGTGCTGTCACTGTAAGAATAGTGTAGAAATTAGCTTTAGAGTAGTTCGAGGTAACCAAAACTATTAGTCTTCAGTGACTGAGTTGGTTGAATATGTCGCTGAAATATTATTGGTTTTCACCGGTCTTTAAGCTAAGTAGATGGTTTCAGGTTATATTGTAATGGGATTTAAAGCAGGTCATTAAACATCTAATGAATCCAACTTTAACTAATTTGCAATCGCGAAATCCGTGTTTAGAATTCAAGAGCATATACTAGAATCATCCATTCAATCCATTAAAACTTGGAATATGATATTGCTGCATAACTCCAAGTTGCCATTACCCACATAATCAAACAAGAGACATGTTACGAAATTAGAAGGGAGTGAGGGGGCAGACATAATTGGTAATAAATCTGAGGTCACACTGAATCATAAAGCACAAATAAGGAGAGCTAAATAATGAAAAATGCTGTTACACTATAGGTAGGGATGGATTTTGAGTACATCTGTGTAATTACAGTTGATCGTAAGTTACATCACTTACAGCCTCCAACTATCTTTTATGATGGCTTCATGGACTGCTAGCACGCATTCCACAATTTCCAGACGGTTCAGACTATCAGTCAGAAACGTTTTAGTTCGATCATCCTGAGTTCTCTTCTAACTTCATCTTACTCTACCTGACAACCGACTGCCTATCTGGAATAAATGTATTGTAAACTTATTACCACGTAGAGATAGAAACGATTAAGAAGACAAAAAGGTCTAAAGTTGAAGGGTGATTTAAATGCATTTTAGTGCTACTAAGGATGTAAAGACTTCTCATACTCTTTGATTGCCTTTACTTTCAGGCATAATTTCTGTAGCTGCCTATAGGAGAAAGTATATTAGTTTGAATAGTCTTAACAACCTCATTTTGAGGCTTTAAAACCCACTAGATAACTGTTTGCAGTCATTCACACAGTCTTCTTGGATGCTTCTGATGCCAACATAGTTGTGTTGGGTTCTTACTTTAAAACGTTTTACCTCCAACCCCGGAATTGCATGAGGACACAGTTATTGTTGCTGTCTCTTTTTTAATCCATCCTTCCGAAAAAATGGGACACACTCAGAAAATATTTTTTATCTCGCTACTGTCATCTCAATATAGTTAGCAGTACTAATTCTCCATCTTACTTGCCCAACCTGTTTATAGAATTGGAAAATTCGCTACGTTTAGTGTTATCATTCTCAAGCCAAAGGCATTCCAGCCAATGTAGTTCTAGTCAAACATTATGGCAGGCAAGCCCCATCACTACATAAAAGTATCAGTTATAGATGGATATATGGATATATTCCAACACATCTGGCAACTGTCTCGTGTTATGTTAATTAGAATAGCAGTCAAGTGAAAATAAATTCAAAGCAATCAGAGCAGGATAGGGAGGCAATCTATGAAGTCTTAGTGTCGATTTGATCCATGTATGAAATGGTAGACTGACTGTTTTTTAAGGGGGGGGGGGGGGGTTATAGTTAGGTAGCGGTGAGGTCTATCAGTTTATGAATGAATCTCGTTTAGTAGGTTACGTTTTCGGACCCATCTGCACACTGATGGCGTTTAAGTAACTAAACGATGGCATTGAACCTAACACCTTTACACCTTTCATACAACTTTCATCTTTCTAAGGAGTTCTAAGAGTGATTTTATGTGCACTTTTGGGACCGATTTTAAGCCTTGTCACCAAGAGTCTACAACCATTAATTTCTATTATCTCGGGGGCCTCAACCATGCAGTCTTCACTTACAGGCCTACACGGCTCAAATCAACAGTCAAATGATTCAC